AGAAAGTTTCTAAGCCCTAGGGTGGTTTGGAAGTCCTGATTAAGGAAGCAATTTGATAAAAACGGACTTTAGAAATGTTCACGTTATGTCATGCTACAGCCTTAACCCGCAGAGGGACAGACTAAAAGAAATTGGAGTCCAGTTTGTGTTGCTATTGCTCCTATAGGCTAATTTTAGACCCTTACCTGAGGATTATAATTCCCGCTTCATGGGCTGCTATGAGAGTGAGGTGTGAAATACCTGGCACGTGCCTGGCACCCAGTAGGTGCTCGCAAAGCTGGTCGTGTTCTCTTTATTACCATCTCTGTGAAGTTCCCCTTAACATCCGGGGACCCCACTTACAATCATCTCATCTGGAATGACCTCCTTGCCCATTTTCTTTCCAGAGGGTGAGTAGAGGCTTGGGGCTTCCTCGGTGCTCAGAGAAGAGAGGGGGTCAGTACGCAGGAGCCCCCCAGTCTCCTCTCTGAGCCTCAACTTGGTTTGTGTATGCGCCGGTATGTGTACAGTCGGGTGTGCTCAAGTGTGCAGAGGGGGCCGGTGCATGTACGCATGTTATAGCTATCGTGTGTGTACACAGTAGAGAGAGAGCACGCAAGACAGAGTGAGAGAGAAGTGCGACCTCAGGTTTCCAGACTCAGAACTGTAAGTAGTAAGTAAGTTATCTGTTGTTTAAACTACCCAGCCCATGGTATCTTGTTAGACATGGTCTGAGTCCAGGTTTAAAATACTAGAGGTCATTCCAGTCAAAGGAAATCTTGGAACAAATGCCCTTTCGCTCATACCTCAGCCCAGGTGGGCCAAGACTGGGAATTCGTTCTGCCGTCAGAAGAGAGGGTTGGACACCACGGGGTACTCAGTAAGTCGGCGGGTTCCTGCGGATGCTGCCGAGGAAGAGATGCTCCCAGAGCCTCTCCATCCGAGAGGCAGGAGAGGACGTCACCCACCACAGTGCCACAGGCGCAGGAGGCTGGGGCCAGGGCTCTGTGGAGAGCAGCTGCCGCAGAGCTCCCGAGGAGGAGAAGGGCACTTCCTCTCTCTGAAGCTGCCCTCTTTCAGGCTCAACGCACAGCCGAATAATTATGACTTCAGCTGTCTTGAAAAAATGTTGGCTGCTATCTGTCATATAAATACAGCTATTTGCTGTGTCTTCTCTCTAGACTGGGAGCTCCAGGAGGGCAGAACCATGTCTGCTTGGCTGAGCAGATGCCCAAGGCCAGGCAGGTCCTCGGTATCTGCGGAATGAGTGAGTAGACAGGACCCCTGTGTGTCTTCTCCGGGGCCTGAGTACTGGCCTCGGGGCATCTTTCTCCTCCACCGTCTCCCTTGAAGTTCATTTCCCAAGAGAGGACCCCCTGTTACTATGCTTCCCCCCAACCCCCTCACACCTCCCCACCCCACGGCTGTCTCTTCTTGCAGGTCCCCGGGGCCTTGCACTGAAGCTGGTTGTGAGCCTGTTTCTGGACGGTTCTCGCTGTGGCTAATCCCTGGTGGCTGTGTCCTTGCTGAACTGTACACTCCTCTGGCAGGACAACCTCTGGCAGGACAACACGCTTTGGGTTTCTTAATCACTGGGAGTCTTGACCCCAGTTCCCCAGAACTAAACTGTGCACAATAAATGTTTTAGAAAGGATGGAAAGAGGACAGGCAGGGAGGGAAGCCTGAAAGGTCTCCACTGTGGGGGAGGGACGCAGCACTTCCAGGTGGAGAAGGTGATCATTTTTCATTTAACTGAGGTGATGCTGGCTTACAAGGCTGTTTGCTTTTCGGTAGAGAGCCCTCCCATCCCTCCATACGTCACCACCACAGTGCACCGATGACCAACACGGAGCTGTTGTCTAACGCACAGAGGTTTTGTTTAGCAAGATGAACACTGTGAATATAATTAACATGGTAAAGGCATGCACTTAGAAGTGGCTACGATGGGAAATGGTGTGTTGTGTGTTTTAACACAACTCTAGAAGAGAAGAAAAGGCAAGGGCCATTTGAGGAGTCCCTGGCACCCCTGCACCCCTGGTGTCCCTCTTTCTCTTTGCCACCTGGAGGTGAGCAAAGGGGGAGACTGAGTCTTAGAAGGGAACAAAATTCATCCTGAGCACAACTCCATAAACTGCAGACCTGCCCAGCTCTCTGCTCTCGTGACCCCATATTTCTGGATCCGAGGGCGTTTATGCTCATCTCCCAGATAGCTACTCATTTCTCTCAGAACAAAACATAAGGCCTCAGGGCATACACGCACACACACACACACACACACACACGCACACTCAGTGAACTCATTTTTAAAAAACAACCCAGGCGCTGGTTGGAGCAGAGGCCTGGCCCAGCTGAGCCACAGCCATTTATTTCCAGGGTGAGCTGAGGGCCCCCGAGGTGCAGCAGCGACAAGCCTGGGACTCCAGCTGCAGCTCAGCCTTTCCGGCCTCTGGCCACTTGCCCCAAGGGCCAAGGGTAAGGGCCGACACCTGAAAGGAAGGGTCAGGTGGGGCAAGAACATGATCACCCTCCACACCCGCATCAGGATGGTGCTAAGATGGGGTGGCAGGGGCAGAGGGGTACACACGGGGGACAGTATAAGAAAGGGGGACACAGACAGTGACACTCTTCCTGGGAGCCTCTTTCCACAGCGAGCCTACACCTGCGCCCGGAGGACCTGCAGGAACAGTCTCGCCCAACAGGCCTGGGAGAGGAGGAGGATGTGCCCGGTAAGGGGCAAGGTGGGGTGCAAAGCCCAAGGAAGGTGGGAGGCAGGGCGGGAGGGGACCCTGGCAGGGGGCGCCGCTCCCCCAGTGTGATCTACAGCCATCTCCTCTGAAGGACAGGGCTGGGAGAGCAGAGCTGGAGGTAGAGGGGAGGCCGGCAGAGGGCCCGGGAGGGGGTGGCTGCACTCACCTGGCGGGCCTGCTTCACCCAGACATGATGTGCTTGACAAAGGCTGGGAAGGAAGACCACCGAGACCACCCTCAGCCCCACACGCACCCGCCCTCCTCCTTGCCCCTTAATTAAGGCTCTTCCCCTTTTCCTCTACTGGCTTCAGGCTTCCCCAACCCCCTTCTTCAGGCTGCATTGGGGGTTGGTGGCAAGAAGGTGGCAGGACAGAGACGACCTAACTTCCGCCCTGTGCCCAACTGCGCTGACTCTGGGTGTAGACGAAGTGACCAGCACGGCCTCTGCCAATCCTGCGGCCTTAGGAAAGGCACCAGTGCTCAGTGAGAAAACCGAGCCCCAGAGAAGGCACGCGGCTGGCACATCCTGAAGCTGTCTCCAAAATCCTGACCCTCGTTCCAGCAGGATGTTCACCCCCAGGAGGGAGAATATCCAGCCAGAGCCACCAAAGCCCGTCCGGCGCAGACCTCCAGCTCCTAGGTCTGTTCATTCCGCAGAACCCCCAGCCCCAACTGCGGCCACACACCCCTCCCCCCAGCCCCCTTCCGTGGAAGCAAGGAAGGCACAGCCAGGCACCTTCATAGTTGATGCAGCCATTGGCATCCTCTTGCCCCGCCAGCAGCTGCTCCACTTCAGCTTCCGTCATCTTCTCTCCTGGGGTGAGGGCAGGGCGCTTAATGACAGAAGCAGCGAAGAGACAGGCAGCACCCAAACTCCTCTGCAGTCTCAAGGCCCCAGACTCCCTGCTGGGATGTGTGGGGCCACCATACCTCCCCCAACGGCTTTACAGGGTAGAGTCAAGGGTCTGAAGACCCTCCCTAAGCTCCAGACCTCTCCCTGTGCCTAGGGCCCCCCCTTGCAGGCCCCAGCTGTCCCCCCTGCTCTGTCGAACCCTGCGAGGAAGCCTAGTTTGGGAGGGTCCCTGGAGAGCCCAGGGAGACAGGGCCTGGAGCGAGAGGCGAGGTTCGGAAAAGATGGACGCCGGTACCCCCAGCCCGGGCCACCTCAGTGCCTCCCAGCCCTCCTGCCTCCCGCATGGGCTCCACCTCTGCCCACCGCCATACCCAGGGTGGCCAGGACATGGCGAAGCTCGGCGCCCATGACGGTGCCGTTACTCTCCTTGTCAAAAACGCGCAGCCCCTCCACGAAGTCCTCGTAGCTGCCCTGCTCCTTGTTGCGGGAGATGTGCTGCAGGATGGGCAGGAAGGTCTCGAAGTCCAGCGTCTTGGTGCTCATCTCTGCTCGGGCACGGGCCAGGAGAGAAGCAGGGTGAGCGGAAGCCCGCGGCAGGGAGGCACGGAGGGCCCCTCCCGTCTCCGCCAGGCGAGCGCCCCCCCCCCCGGCCCCCCCGGGTGTGGGCATCTGGCCTGGAGGATGGAGACGAGAGCCCGGGGAGCACGGCAGGACGGCACTGGGCGGCTGTCTCCAGGGAAAGACCTGGACGGCCGGGAAAGGTCCACGCTCCACCCAGGCCTCTGAACTCAGGTGGCCCCCGAGGTGGGGGAGATGATGGGGTCCGTAGCAGAAGCTGAGGGGCAGCAAGAATTGAGGGACTTTTCCATAGTTACGGAGGCAGGATTTCAAGAGAAAATGCCGCATACTGTGCACCAGGCCCCACCACAGACAGCCGCGGGAGCTACTCCCAGGCAGGCGGTGGTGTAACTGCTCCCGCGGGTTTTAGGAGCCTAAATGTTGGCTTCAACGAGTGCCCGGTGTCTCTGGTCTCCAAGACCAGCTGGCAGCTGGACCCTCTTCCCGCCCATGCCCAGAGAGGCTGCAGGTGGCCTCCGAGGGGCCTGGCCTTGCCAGCCCCTGCCCAGGCCTGCCTCTGAGAGGCCCCGTTTTACGGCAGCTTGTCACTCTCCTGCCACGGCGGCCATTCCCTAAGAGACACCCTCCTTGCACCTAAACTCACTCACCAAAACCTGTCAGAAGGCAAATCAGCATGAGAGGCGCCTTCCCGGTGCTGCCTGCAGTCTGCTCTAACTCACCGCCAGGGCGGGATTTGCCATCTCAGGGCCCTGGCCATTATGAGAACCTCGGTCTCCCCCAGCAGGGACATCTCTGCTCTGTGGCACCTCCACTAATTGCTGGGTTCGTCATCGGGTCCCCACAATGCCTTCCTGTTCCTGCTCCTTCCTGCCCATGTCCCTGGTACCCCGGGGTGTCAGAGGAAGACACTGAAGCAACGTGATTTCTTGCCTGCTTTTCCAGAGCCCCTGCTCAGGCAGGGAAACAAGAACAAGCCCAGATTCCACCCTCCAAGGGTTAAGGAGGTGCTAGGGGCATCCAGATAAATCCTGGCGATGAGAGGAGGGCAGGGTGGGGCGGGGAGGGCGAAAGGGGGAGAAGGTGGCTCTGGAAGGAGGCAGATCCCTCGAAGCGCAGACCCGACACCAGGAGGTAGCCAGCACGGGCACGCTGACCTTCAGGCTTGGGCTTGCCCAGGACACGCAGCACCTCGGCATTGGTGGGGTTCTGGCCCAGGGCGCGCAGCACGTCCCCACATTGTCCGTAGGTGATCTTCATCTCCCCCGCTGGGGTCCGGTCAAACAATGAAAAGGCCTCTTTAAACTCTGGGGAGAAAAGCTTGGCTACAGCCTCTGGCCCAAGGGAAGGTGGTGGGTGGGGCAGAGCACTATGGTGGTTCAGTGATGCCCCTTCCCGGACCCCGCACCCACCTGGCCATCAGCCTGTTGTTCCGTCATCACTTGAACATGTCCCCTGCCAAGTGGCAGGGCAGTGAAGACAGGACTTGGGGGGGGGGGAGTGGAGGGGGTGTCAGGATTCACAGGTCCCCATCTGGCTACAGAGGCCTGTGAGCTCCTCCTTGTGCAGGGGGTAGGGGAGCTCAGGGAGGTGTGAGTGTTTGTGGTTGCCCTCTGATGGCCCACTTTGGCCATTTGCAAAGGGGCAAGACCTGGGGGAAGTCAGTTAAGATGGTGATTGGCCCCTCCGGCCGAAAGGGGCTCCCTTGCCAGACAAGGGATCAAGGCAGAAACAGCCACCAGCCCCACCAGACTCCCAACCTCTGAAGGTCCCTTTTCTTAGCTGTAAGCTGCATCCACCTGAGGGGTAGCTGGGGGGGGGGGGGGGGCTCGGCTGCAGAGCATATGGGTGGCAGTGTCTGCCTCATAGGCAGGGAATCAACAGGTGATCATTCCAGCCTGGCCCTGGTGCTGGCTCAAACTAAGGGACCAGGGCAAGGAGCAAGGCCCAACCCAGGCACCCCTGAGTCTCTGCAAAGAACCTCACTCATCACTCATTTGGATTTAGCCAACTATAATTCGGGCTTGGAATGCACTGGAGTAAACTTCTGTTAGCAAAGAAATGATTGACTAACCAGATTAACAGTATAAACCTAAGAAGAATATGTGAACTGCTTAGGAGAAAAGCTGTTCTAATCCTCTCCAAGTCCTTCAGCAAAACTTCCTTCCTTAGAGGATGCATATGGGTTATTTACAAATCAATCCACATATCAAAGTAGGTTTCCCAAGATGTTTTCCTGCAGCTCTTAAACTTTGTTTAAAATTTAAGACATTAAAAACCGCATGGCTTTCATATTGCTGAATTGTTGAGTTCAAATTCCATTTCCACCGCTTATAAGCTGTGTAACCTTGGTAAAGTTAATATTTAACCTCCATAAACCACTTTTCTTCTCTAAATGGCACCTAACTCGGGTCCTTAAATTGCATTCAAATTAAATACAATCATGGAGAAATTCTTGACACAATTTCCTGCTCATAGTAACAATGCAGTTAATATTCTCTTAGCAGTTTAATTCCAATTTTACTACTGCACAGTGTGACCTTGGCCAAGTCACTTCACCTCCCTGAGCCTTGGTTTCCTCCGCTGGGAGAAGGAAATACCTACCTCACAGCTTTGTTAGGAGGGTCTATATATATATATATATATATATATATATTAATTTTGGAAAGCAGTAAGCATGGCTTCTGCACAAGTTAATATTTGTTAACTGAAACTGAACTTGGACTTTTTGATCGTTTCCCAGTTGAATCAGAAGGGCAGACTTGATAAAAATAAGAGTCTCCTTATATAAGAAAAATATGATGATTCTTCTTAGGAGAGTGGGATGGGAGGGAAGTAGTGAGAACAGTTTGAGCGTCTGCCACAGGGCAGGAGCGAGGCTGATAATTTTACATGTTTGCCTCATTCATCTTTCCAAAAACTCTATGCTATAAGTGTTACTGCCCTCATTTATAGGACCTGCAGCTGTGACTTTAGACTAACTATTAAGGAAACTAAAGAAATAGGGGGGAGGAAGGAGGAAGTGGCGGAAGAGACCTGTTGCACCTGTCAATGTCTCAGCTGGCAGGGGAGTGTAGCCCACATCCCCCAACCAAACACTGCCATGTAGGGTTGCTGCTAGGACCAAACGCAGCCCGTGTGGTCTTGGGGCATACAAAGGGTGCTGTTCAGGGCCAGGAAGAGAACTTGTCTCTCATCTCAGTAGCCAGCTATATGCTGAAGCAATAAACTATAAAGGTCATCTCTTTCTAGAAGGGCTGGGAAATCTGAGAGGGGCCAGAGAAGAAAGTCAATGATGAAAAATTTAAAGGTTTAAATGGAGAGACCTTAAAAAAAAAAAAATGGAAGTAGCATGTGATTCAGCACAACCACTGCTGGGTCTTGACCCAAAGAATAAGCCAGCGAGGTAAGAAAAGTCTGAGGCCCTGTGTGCACAGCAGCACAGCCCACAGCCCACAGCTGCCACCACGCAGACCCAATCTCAGCGCGGTCCACAGAGGACGAGAAAACTGCAGAGTATATACCCAGTGGAATACTACTCAGCTGTTCAGAAAAAAAGAAGAAGAAAGAAACAGTGGGGACAAAGGGTGGCTCTTGAGGCAATTATGCTGAGTGAAATAAGCCAGAACACAAAAAGTACTGATGTGTCTTTTTTTTTTTTTTTTTTTTGTGGAATAAATAACCAAGGAACACAGACTGGCAAAGCACAGCAAAAAATAATTCTTAGACTCTGTGAAAAATATACTGGTTTGCACAGGGAGTGGGGGGAGGAAAAGCAATAGGGGAAGGAAGGGGCCAGGCACTACCCAGGGGCACGGAGAGTGAGAATGTAACTGTGTGTGGAGGAGTCAAAGCCACCCCCTGAGCCACAGGCATGAGGGTGGTCAACGAATAAAAATAAATAAAGGAACGCTAACGGTTTTCTTTTCTCTTTTTAAAGCATAAAAGAGTTTGAGGCCCAGTCACCTGGAGAATATAAAGTAAAATGGGATTTGATAACTGTCTTCAAGTAGATGTGGAACTGGGTGGTCCCTAGGAAAAAGGGAAGTTCCAGGTTCCCTGCCCCACCCAGGAGGAGGGTGGAGCTGAGCAGAGAAAAAGGGAGAAGGAGAAGAAAGGAAGGAAGCTGGATGGAGAACAAGAAGGAAACCTGAGGAAGCCACACGGAGCAGCAAGCATGTGAGGAAGAAACCAGGCTTGTTTCCTGACCCCGGACTGGTTAAGGCAGATGTGGGTGAGATGCCTGGAGGGAGGTGACTATGGCGGTGTTTATACTGATTTTGATTTTGCTCTTTTCCTCCCAGATTTGTCTGGCCATTTCTGACCCTTTTCCATGGTCCGACCAGAAGGTGCTTTAGTCTTGTGGCGTCTTTCGAGTCTTGCTTTGGGCCAATCCCTTTTGGATAGACTTTTGCCCACGAGGGGATGGCTAACTTCAGATGTTTGATTTAGCATTATATTCTTTCTGTTCCTTATTGTATATTCACTGTATTAAAGTCCCTTTCCAGTAAAGTTTTATATGTTTTGTCTTGATGTGGCAGATGGCAGAACCCATTTAGAGCAGGCAGGTTTGGGGCTTCAGGGGTACCCCTGTCCTGTAACAGATTGAGCTTGGATGCAGAACACAATCACACATGCTGATCAAAAAGAACCAATAATCCCACTGTGCACATAAGAAAACAAAGGTTTCAGGATGTGACTTGCCCAGTTTCATGGCCAATAATGGCAGATTTAGGAAAAACACTCAAGTCTCCTGACTCAGAAGAATGGGCTTTCCACTATAACATGAGAAAACCACTTTGAGCTCCCCATAAAGCAAATGAAGAGACAGCAGAGAAAAATTAAAGCAGAAACAATCAAGTTCGACATTAAGAATAATGCTTCCAAGTCAAAGGATGAAAGACTGGGAGGAGTTAGGCCCTGGTTCTGAAAAATCTTCGTGACAAAAACAGCTATCCCACTGGCTTTGCCCCGGGTTCCCATCGGGGACTGGGAAGAAATGTGATCATTATTTGCTTCAGTCATGTGTGATATTGTGATACATAGATCGTATGAAATGCATTCAAATTAATTTTAAGAACTTCACAGCATGCCAAACTATTCACTAACTTTGTCCACTGGGTATTACAAAAACAAAGTCAGATTCCACTTGATATCTTCAGAATTTATCTGCTAGCCCTCATGCCGGTTTTGTGGGTAAAGTGGCACATTTGGGGAGGGTAATTTGGCAATGGCATTTACCATTTTATTTTATTTTTTTTAAAGATTTATTTATTTATTCATACAGAACTGGGGTACAGGCCAGAGATGCGGAGGGTGAGAGGATTCACCAGGGACAGAGTGGGAAGCAGAACAGGCAGATCGACGAAGTACACTGCTGAGGGGAGCAGTGGGTGGGTCAGGAGAGGTCTGCCACACCATGTGGTCTCCTCCGGGGCAGGCGGGGATCGAACTCATGAGGAAGTGGATTAAGCTTCTTAGTGCAGTGCTTTAACCTGCTGCACCACCAGGGAGGGCTCCGGGCATTTACCATTTTAAATGCACATATACTCTGACCCACTGCTAGGAAAATTCCTGGGGGTAGTAGGCTGATATTCAGGAAACAACCTGAACACCTGTCAAGGAGGACGGATTAAATAAAAATGTGAGACTCTATACAATTATTTAAAAGGATGAAGTACTGTGTAATTATTAAGTGAAAGATAAAAATGAAAATAGTGCCCTCCCTGGTGGCGCAATGGATTAAAGTGCAGCACTATGAAGCTACGGGCAGCCACTGCAGCACGAGTTAGATTCCCGGCCAGGGAGCTGGCCCACATGGCGCAGCAGACCTCTCCTGTCTGCCTGCTGCTCCCCTCGGCAGTGTGTCTCACTGGATCCGCCTGTTCTGCTCCCCACAGAGCTGCGACCAGCAGGGGTGGGCTTCGTGGCACACTGCAGGGGAGAGGAGGTTGGCCACAGGGGCCTATGGGGCTTTCCCACAGCAGGCATAGAAGCTAGGTCCTCTAAATAAACTGGATGGCAGACTTGGGGGTTGTTCTACTGAACCCCTATCGTGTTGCAGGCAGCCTGGCAGAGCAGTAGAGAGCTGAGGTCTGGAATCAAACTGCTGAGCTGGAACCCTGTCTCTGCTGCTGCTGACCTGGGAGCGGCTGGGAGGCCCTCAGCCTCTCTGTGACTCAGTTTTGTGAACATGAAATGACCTGTGGAAGGGGGGCGCAGTTACCAACCTAGAGCGAACACAGGCTTGCTACCAGGATGGTGACCGTGGTAACAGCCTCTCCTTCACCTCTTTCCCCCTCCAGGGAAGTGTGACCCGGGGTGTGGGGACAGGGGTGCAGCAGTCACTACTCACCTTCGATCTGGTCAGCCGTAAAGTCTATCTGTGGGGAGGAAACACAGAGCCATCAGGGCTGGGGCTGCTAGAGATTTCTACAGGGAAGCACAAGTGTTTCCACCTCCTGTGGGCCACAGGAGAGGAGGAGAGGAGACCCCAGGTGTAGACCAGACGGACAGGCCACAAAATAAGGCAACCTCCCAAGCCCCCTCAGCTCAGAGAGAGAGAAGTGCCCTATAGACTGCTCCATTTGACCCCCTGGTGTCACATGCAAACGCTTCATCCCAGCTGGCCATAAACTGCCCGACTTCACCTGTTGAGTGGTCCCCTCCTCCACAAACCAGCCTTCCTCTCCTGCTGGGTGCCCCCCACTTCCGTCCCTGGGCCTCCCTTTTCCATTTGATGCCACCATTAAGTCACCGCCCCCAGGGACACCTTCTCTCACCCCACCCCACCCGGCCTCCCTGCCCTCTCAGTTCCTCCAAGGCGCTCTCAGAGAGCTCGCCAGGCCCCAGGCTTCTGGACTGTTCTAGACGTGTCTTTCTGTGTACCCCCTCCAGTTCCTCGAAGCCAGCGCTCCCTCGGGGCTGGGATGTTTGTTTGTTGTTGTTTACTGACCACAAATATCTGTTCCGTGAAGGAATAGACTTGTGCTTCCCTGCCCCGCCCCAATAGTTGAGTGCTGAGTACAGAAAGGGAAAGCTCTGAAAATGAACACAGCAAACAAACAGGGTCGCCATCTGAACCGAGGGTCACGCCTGCTAACTGGCCGTCCTCATCTCCACCTGCCCCTTCTCAGCCGGGGGTGGTGGCCATCTGGGGCATCTTCTTCATACACCTCCACCTCCTCATGCCGCAGCTTGTGCCGAACCCCTCCGAATCACATAGTTGGCGGTGACCCCTGGGCGGCGGGCGTGGGCCGGGAGAGCCAGAAGGGTTGCGTCAGGCCGGGGAGGGAACTAGCTGTGCACACGGACTGTGCCAAAGTGGAGGCTGGGCATCAGGAAGTCAAAGAAACCCTGTAAATGGGGAAGGACACTTCACATGTCCTTGCTGAGGAAAGCTTCTTCCTTCGCAGCACGTGAAGCCGCAGGCATGATCGCGGGAGAAGTAAGTGTGGCCAACACCACAGAGAGACTTTGGCTTGAGTCGCCCTTGCTCTTTGAGCAAAGCATCTTCGAAGAAAGGATCTGGGTGAGCACCCTAACGGGAAACGGTTCTCATGCAGGACCTCGTGCTTTCTCGACTTTAAAGTCAGTTCAGTCACCCCCAGAGGTATGGTCACCAGGGGTGAGAAATTGGGGGGCATGAGGCGGTGAAGGGGAGCGATGGGCCAAGAGACACCGCCGTGCTGCTAAGCAGCTGTTGCCCCGACCCTGGGGACACCTGTGTGCCCATCAGTGTGGCTGATTGTGTGCACAAATCAGAAACCGAGGCACAGCAGGACCCTGGGGGTGTCAGCCTGTCTTGCCAGGCCCTGCCCATGGGGGAGCGGTGCATGTCCTAGAAGAGGTCTTACGCCAGCCTCAGTTTCCCGAGAGTAAGCCATAATCAAGCCCAGGGAGGGGGCCACTGCTTAAGTCTCTTGGCCAAGACATCTCCATCGCCCCCAGAGGGGGTTACCACGGAGTACCCCTGGGTATCTGGCATAGTCACAGAGTCTGCAGGGCCTGTAGGAACTGGAGGGATCTTGAGCAGGGAGGGACAGCCAATTCGAGGTCTGGACTTCAGTGTCCTGCCAGCCTGTCAGAGCCTGGTTCCGAGCTCTTCTTTCCCCCGCCCCCGGCTGATACTCCCTGGGACACTCCTGATCATCAGTAATAGCTCTCCAGACCAGCAGCCACCTGACCTCTTACAATCTGGTGCCAAGACTGTGCCTCTTACAAATGCTTTGCTCCCAAAAGCCTCTGACCTCTCCCTTCCTCGGCTCCCTTTTCCCTCTTCAGCCACTGGGCTGGCGAGCTGGGAGGGCCGAAGCAACTGAGTCAGCAGGCAGGGCCTAGCCAGCTCAGGGCGGAGGACTTCCCTGTGTGAAGGGGTCAGAGTGGGTGAGAGGGGCGCGAAGAGTGAGGCCCAGGGCACAGGCGTGGGGCCCAGCTCCCCCATCGGGCCAGAACTGGGGCTGGGTCAGTCTTCTGCACTCTCCAGATAGGAGCCTAGGCTGAGGCCACCGGGGTAGGCAGAGGCCACAGAGTGGCCTGTCCAGGCAGACCGGAGAGCCTGTCTTCTCGCACCTAATCTTTGGCCTCCTGACCCCTGTCCTCCCCCCATACCCCACCCCCAACGCACCCCCAAGGCTTTGAGAAAGGCCTTCCCCCGGCACACAGGCACATGCTGTGTGTCTCACTGGCCACATCACCTACGCTGAGCTGCCTGGCAGTTAGCAGCCTGAGTCTTCCCTCCACAAAGATAGCACACCACCTCTAAGTAAAGGGTCGGTCTCTTTACTTCACTCCGGTGGCCCCCAAGTGCCTTAAAAAGTGTTGGGGGGTTGATTGGTGCCATTTTCAACTCTGCTGGGCAAATAAAGGGGGACAGATCAGGGCGTCCACAGACAGAACCGAAACCTGTTCTGGGGGGAACGATAACCCGAAAAGACCTCACTGGCCCCAGGATCTGCTTCACAGCTCTGAGACTGTGACCTGGTCTGGACACCACAGCTCTCACCCAGGCAGATCGCTGAGCCACAGGGAATCCAGATCCTGCCTGTCAACCCTATACCTGTCCCAGGGCTGAAGCTCACTCACCTTTACACTCTTGGGGTCAAAGGCAGCTTCCTTGGGGGGCTCAGGAGCCGAGGCAGGGGCTGGGGCAGGCTTGGGGGCTTCCTTCTTAGGTTCCGGCTTCTTGGGAGGCATGTTGTCTTGGGGACCTTCAGTGGAGGTGGGGCCTAGAAAGGAATCCAGAGATGCAGGGACTCGGACACCTCCTCCTTTTTATCCTGTCAGGAGCCCCCATGGAGGGGCTGGGTGAGCGCAGAACAGCTGCTGCTGACTATAAAAGGAAGAAACACCAGCCGGGGGCAGCTGACAACTGTGCATTGTCACCAGGTTTGGGGCCACCAGCTCCCCTCCCCCAGATCTCACACCCCTCACAGCCTCCACCTCTGGGACGAGCTGACTCCTTCCTGCCAATTGGTGGAAGCCCAGAAGGGCCAGAACACGGACCCTCTCAAAAATGCCAGTGTCCAGCCAGGGAGATGAGCTGACTTGAGCAGTTGATAACCCTCACACAAAGCCCGGGGAGGGGAAGGCTTTTTTTAGCCCTCCTGAGTAGGGGCAGCCCACTGCACACTCCTTTCAAGCCAAGATCCTTTAAGCTGAGAGCCACTCTGGGGCCTGTGCGCTGGCCTGAGGCGCAGCTCCCAGCCTGAGCCCTGAAGCAACAGCTGGCCCAGCCACCCACAGTCCCGCCACACCCTCCCCACCCACGGGCAAAGCCCTCCTCGGGCCAGAGCACGTACCCCAGGAGCTCCACAGGCCTCAAATCCTAGGTCCACCACCCCCACCATCCTCAGCCATTCATTAAACAGAGGGTTGAGCTCTTAACTCAGCAGAGCCCAGGGGCTGAAACTCAAGACTAGAAGTCAGAAATGCTGTTTAGTTTTTGCTAGACCTCTAATGTATCTACACCCCCTGGACTCCGTGTGTGTGTGAGAGAGAGTGTGTGTGTAGCTCTCTATTCATATATAGCACCTCACCAATCATGCCACAATCCTATAAGGTAAATATGACTGTTAGCCCCATCTCACACACGAGAGGACTGAGACTAGAAATGGTCCAGGCACCAGATGGATCAGCTAACTAGTTCCGAGTAGGGACTGGACCCCAGGTGTGTCTGATTCTGAAGTGCAGGCCTGAATCATGGATGTAATAACCCCACCTGGAGTGGGGAGGGAGGCGCAGAAGCTGGTGTGCTCATCACAAAGGCCCGGATGAGCACACACCTGTTACAGTAGCATCCCTGGGGCCTGTGAGGCTGAGGACCAGAGCAAGCAGGCAGTAGATGCTTTTTTACGTCTTTCACTTCCTGTGGTAGTGGAAATGTTTACAACAGATGTGTACTGCTTTTGTTTTCAAAAAAGTCTCAGGGCCCTCCCTGGTGTGCAACAGGTTAAAGCGCAGCACTATGAAGCCATTGCAGCCACCACAGCACGAGTGCCATCTGCAGCCAGGGAGGGACCCACATGGCGCCGCAGACCTCTCCTGGCCCCCCGCTGCTCCCCTCAGCAGCGTGTTTCACTCATTCTGCCTGTTCTGCTCCCCACTCTGTCTCCAGTGAATCCTCTCGACCCCCACACCTCTGAGCTAATAAAATGGTGATGAAAAACAACAGAAGTGTATCTGCTCCACAGGGACGGGCCGTTTTTGAGCTGAACCCTGAGCCTCCAACTGGGATGATCAGGGGGGGTGAAGCCAAGAGGAACAGCAAGCTTCTCAGCCTGTGAAGCTAGAGTGCCAGCTGCGCCATGCCGCCAGATCCTGAGCCTGGCACCCACCTTCCCCAGCTCCCCAGCACAGGCTCCAAGACCCAGGTTGTTGGAGCTGAAAGGCCCTGAGAGATGATCTCTCTCCTTATCTTGCTTTCCTTTGTGAAGCACCCAACACTAAGGCCCAGGGAGGCTCTATTTACTGGCAGAGACCAACCGCTGGTTGTGGCTCCAGGGTGTCCCCACATCACACCCTCCCTGCTAGAGGGCTATGCATGCTCCCCCAATGGGGCAGGGAAACCTTCAGAGGAAACAGACATCACCCAGGGCTTTCCCAAGGGGGGTTCTAGAACAGGACTGGGCCGGGCCCTCAGCCCATCCTGGTCTGGGCTAGGGGAGCAGCCCCTCAATCTAGTCACCTCCTCTTCCCCTCCCCTGCTGGCCTTCCCCCCCACCCCTCCCAGTCTGGCTCCTGTCACCTCTGCCTACATCCTTGTACATTCCCTGGCTGTGCCCTCCCTGCCTACCTCATTCCTCCGGGGAGTGGGAGCTTAGGCTGTTGGTGATGAAGGGGGAGGAAGAGAAAGCCCGTCATCGCCCCCCCCTTCTCACCTCCATGGCACCTCTGTCCTGGCTGTCCAGACAGGTGTGAGGGAGACACACCAGGGGGCCTCTGCGGAGACCCCAGGCCAGGGCTGCAGACCCCAGCTCCAGGGCACACTCTGCAGCCACTTCGCATCTCCACCTCCGCTTGCTTATCTCTGAAATGAGAGATAGTCAGGAGCTCGGCGCCCTGACGGCTGGAGGGGCTGCCAGGCCCTGGCGCCCCCCAGTCCTGTGCCTTCAGCCCGCACCCCCTCCGTGTGCTTTGTATGTGGGCGTCCCACGGTCATTTCCCAGACTTGCTTCCACTGTTGCGCGGCTTTAAAACAAGCACTGAGTCAGACGTTCTCATATGTTCCCTTTCAGTTAAAAACCAGGTATTCTAGAAAGATGCACGATCCTCAAAAGACAGAGCAGAGAGCCGTTCCTTCCCTTTGCTTTCGTCTTTCTCTTTTCATTTCCTTTGCTTGTTTGTTTTTGTGTTTCAGTTCAAAGGGAAAGCAAAATGGCCAGTCTGCCTGGGGAAAGCTGTGTGGGGCTCTAAGGCCTGCTGAAAACACGGAAGCGGGGTGGGTCTGCCTTATGGCTTAGGCATGTCCTGAGGTTCTGAGCATGGCCCAGCACCCTCAGGCCCTTTCCCAGTGAACATTTCCTTCTCAACGTGTGAGCTTTGTGTGAAGTGCATAAGTTAGGCACCACAAACCCTCTCTGGCTCATGGGGGCTACGCACAGATGTTGGTTTCATTTTGCTTTCCCACAGATGTGCTGAAGGGGCCAGTGGGGTGCTCAGGTTTCCCCTCTGTTTCAGGGCCACTGCCTTCCCCCTGCACATTCTCTGCAGCTAGTGTTCTTCACAGGATGCAGGACAGGGTGTTAGCTCCAATTCATGCTCACCGATCAGCGCCCAGGAAGGAAGAGAGCAGAAGAGGCAGAAGAAGTGTGAAGAGACAAGTATAGCAGCAGACACTGGCAGCCTCACAGCTGCTCTGGGAAGTTTCTCGGTGGTTCCTGAGCCAGAATTGCTCCAGCTCCAGCTGACTCCAAAGCGCCCACTGGAAAGACTTCAGATTCAGTAGACAGAAAACACAGAACAGGATTTTCACATCAACCAGTTTACAACACATGTCAAACTCAGAGTCAAATGCACAACGAGCAACATTGGCCTTCATGTGGGCCTGGGTTCTGTACACTCACTAGTCCTCCCCCCTTTTGCTCCCCACATGCAGGGCCCGTGTCCCACCCTGAAAGAGATCTGCTAGAGTCTCCTGCCTGGGTCAAATGCTGCTGACAGCAGGCCTGGCCGTGAGTGCTGGCACCGCTCCTCCTCTCCTCTGGATAGCACGGGCAGTGTCCTGCCAACACTGTTAATCTGCCCCCACAGAGGGCACTGGGTAAGTCGGCTCTGCCACAAGGCAGGGTGGCAGAGTGCACTGAGGAGCCAGCCTGCCTGGGATAGCCCTGACTCGGTCAGATCCTTGGCTAGCCCCATGAACTTCTTTAGGTCTCAGTTTTCCCACTGTAAAATGAGGAGGGGTGGTCTTGAGAGTTAAACGAGTTAATAGGGATGACATTCTTGAACAGAGCTTAGCAGAGAGCCAAGGCTCAAGTGCTTATTTGTGATGTGGCCAGAAGGGACAAGAATTATGTTAAAATTGAGACCTTTCATAATGAAAATCAATACATATTTTTTGAACAAACATGTAGGGTGTTTTCATTGTAATAAACAATACTATTGGGTCCTCTCTGGTGGTACAACGCGTTAAAGCACAGCACTATGAAGCTCTCTGAAGCTGCTGCAGCATGAGTTCAGTTCCCGGCAAGGGAGATGACCCACATGGCACAACCAATCTCTCCTGTCTCGCCCACTGCTCCCCTCAGCAGTGAATTTCACTTCATCTTCCTACTCTGTTACCCACTCTGTCTCTGGTGAATCCTCTCACCTCCGCCACTCCCGCATCTCTGGCTGTACCCCAGTTCCACTCCCGCATCTCTGGCTGTACCCCAGTTCTTACATACATAAAAAAATCTTAAAAAAAAATAAACAGTACTATGAAAACTGGCTGCAAAAATGATAAGTTTAAATGTCTTGTTGATATTCATCAATTCATCTTTTTAATTTCATATTAATAATTCTGAATGAATACAAGACAGTGAATTTTCTTAGCCAAGACATAGTTTTAAAATAGATAGGCTTTTGACTCAAAGTCAAATCAATTCTTCTAAAATAAATGAAGCAATTCTGTCAACTTGCATATAAATATTAGAAGGACAATCATTTTCTTGTACTTGATTCAACTATTGGAAAATTTTAAAGTATGCTTGGAACATCTCAAGTAAGTGAATCAATTTTTTCAACTGATTTTTACAAAATGTAAATACAGGTCAAATATTTATGATGAAAATTTAGCACTCAAACTAAGATTTGCTAGAAGAATAAAGTAATATATACCATACTGGTAATTTTTATACTAATTACATGTTAAAATTGTAATTCTGAATATACCAGGTCAAATAGATTGTTGATTTTTTTAAAAAGTACTTTTTTACTGGAAGCATTACCCATTATTTAAAAACACACAAACAAAACATACACATTAAAAATATGTGATGGTGGGGTCTCCCTGGCGGTGCAGGTGTCAAAGACAGCACTATTAAGCTATCACCAGCCACTGCAGCCCAAGTTCGATCCCTGTCGCTGGCCAGGGAGGTGACCCATTTGGCACGGCAGACCTCTCCTGTCCCACCTGCAGCTCCCCTCAGCAGTGTATTTCAGTCCATCTGCCTGTTCTGCTCCCCACTCTGTCTCTGGTGAATCCTCTCACCCCTCCCCACACCTCCAGCCTATGCCCCAGTTCTTGTATGCACAAATAAATAAATCTTTAAAAATATATATTTGATGGCTGCCTACAGTGACTATAGTTTGGATAGGATGGAGTAATAAGATAAAGGGGAATAAACAAATAAACAAGAGAGGACTTACCTGGACAATTATAGAAGGCTACAAATCAAGGAAAATTATTAACCCAATCCACTGTACCTAAGAGTCCTTGTAAAAAGGGAAAAGCAACGAATCACCTAAAGTCTTAGTGATTTTTAAGGCCCAGTGACCAAGGGGAAAGGCAGAAAAGGAACGGAAAGGTGTCGAAAATCAAAATTGTGAGGACAGTGGTAGCAGTGACTTTCAGAGGACTTTGAATAGTCCTGAACACTTCACTTCCTTGGCTGCTTTAGCCCAGGCGAAGAACGCCAGGTATGCTTGGCCTGATCGCTCAGCAATCAGCAGAAAGAGTTGAAGCTAATTTCTGCGCTGAGATCAAGGCGGTGCCGCCTAGTGACAGATCTGAGAATAGAAAAGTGTGAGGAGGATGCTGGAAGGGGACTTCAGCACCCAGGACTGAGCCTCTGAGGCCTTAAAGCAGAGGGCAGGACAGCTGGTGCTTGGCAAAGAGATTTACAGTTGAAAAGCAGCAGAGACTAAGTCTGGATCCTAACCAGTCACCCACACCACATTGTCCCAGACATCCTGACAGCTGCAAGTTACAATAGAGACCCAGAGAGAAGGGGGTGTCTTGTCCAAGGACACACTGGCTCACAGATTACCTGAGACAGGAACTCAGACATTAAGCAAAACTCAGGAGCTTGTAGAGTCTCGGGAGAAGCCTGGTCCCCAAGAGAAAAGAAGGCATCAACGAAAGAGCTGGCCTGACACTCACAGTGAGGAAAAAGAAACTCAAACCCTGAGCAGGCTTTTTTTTTTTTTTTTCCCCCAGCATTTGGGGACATGCATTAAATGCGCAAGTTTTTTCTGTCCTTGATTTCCTATTCCACAGACTTCTTTTGGGTTTTGAATTCTTACTTCCTCCCTAGCACTGGTAACTTCTCTGTGACTCAGTCTAGTGGATTTGTCTTTAGATCATTTCTGCTATACTTATAAAACCAAATTCTGTCACTGACTTTCCTCTTTTAACCAGATTACGATTCCTCACTCGTTCAGCTAACACTTTTAAGCACCTATAGCACGCAACTATTAACAAAGATGATTAAGGCCAAGGAACAGTCCAGTGTTGAGATAGATAAATAAATTAAAAGCTTTAATATAATGATACTCTCACAGCACTTTTATAAGAGAGTACGTAAGCAAAACGGAATGCATTTATTTCTACCTGAAAAATCTCTTTCTAAATTGTTCCACCAATTGTTCATTTTCAATTGACCTTTGGACACTTCTCACCCGAGGAACTTTTTAATTCTCAGTATATTTTAAATGTAGCTCATTGCCTACCTCCAAAATCATAGAGTTGGGCACCAAGCAAACAATATAAAGCCTATTCAAGACAACTTTGGTGTATACTTAAGAGCAGAGAGAAATCAATCTGTGTTTAACCTATGGTTTATTAAGAGAAAAGTAAAAGTGTGACTAGAGCCTAGAAAAGGGAGGAACAAAGAATTGCTATCTTTGAGGCAGATATTTTCTCTCTAGCTTTCAGGCATAGATGTGCCTTCTGAGGAAAAGGAGATAACCAGTAAGGGCATTCAATTCATTCTTTCAGTTTTAAGTCTGGAATCACTACGCAGCCTTCTGGTTAGAATCTGAACGCCTCAAAGAGAAGGAGTTGGACAGGAATATTTCTCACTGCAAATGAGTAACCTGGAACTACTTTCACTTCCCATCTTCTTTTTGGGATTCAACCATCCAGCATCCTGGAGCAGTGGAAACTTGGAACTGTGTGGGCTCCCTAGCAGCCTCACTGCTGCATCCCCAGAGCCTCCAACTCACAAATCCTCAGCTGTTAGTATAATCTTGCTCAAATTCCATTCTCATGTGGTCACTCTTCAACCCAGTCACCACCAGCAGCTCCTTCAGTCTATTTTACCAATCTAAAGTCATCAGCTTGGAGCCCAGAGCTTGTCAACTGTCTTCAACGTCACCATTTCTACCGAGTTTATACGGCCTTCACTCCTGATGAGCTAATTTTGCTTACAGTTTATCTCCTTCCCATGCCTGAGTGTGTCTAGACCTCCTACCCTAGGCCCCAGGGCACATTTCAGAGCTCGCCAAGATGCACTTTCTGATTAGCCTCAACATTTCGGACTCTGCCTTAACTTACATCCCTCAACATTTCAGACTCTGCACTTAAGGACTTAAGTGCAAAGTCAGCATCGTCTCTGGGTCCAGGAAAGGGGGGGGGGGAGGTGGCAAAAAGACATCAGGTTAAGATCAATTAGAAATAAAATTAAGAAAAGAAATCATTTAATCTTCAGGTATATTTATAATATTTTTATATCTTTTTATATTTGTACAGGGCACTATGCTTGGTAATGGGGATATCTAGTGATAACCAGCCAAAGTTCCTGCCTTCCTGGAACATTATACAAGTGGGGAGTAAAATTGCCATGCATGCTATGAAGGAAAAGAGCAAAGATACTGTGCGAGAGGAGAATAGGGGGTGTTAATAATTTAGATTAAGCAGACAACTTAACAACGGGCAATAAATTAATGGTGCAGTTAAAGGCAAAGGAAAGAGAATTTGGACTTCCACAAGTGATAAATTGTGGGAAGGTATAAATATATGGGGGAAATTAATGCAGGATAAGGATATTCTAGCAAAGTTTGTTTGTGCAGACCCAACTCAGTGTCGACTCTCGACTTCCAGTGATCAAGTTGCTTTCCTCCTCCTGGTAAGGTGAAACACCTTCCCAAAGGGAAATTTATATTCTGTTTTTAGGCAGGTGGAGGAAGGCACAGAGTTCTTTCTACATTTGCTGCCTTTTAACTACTGTCAGCTCAAAATAATTCTTATGTCAAACTACAGAGTCTTATCCTCTTTGCAGAAATGTAGAGAAGAAGCAAGAGGCAGGTAAGATAAGACTGAATAATAAGAGACCAAATATTGAAGGGTCTTGTTAGGAAAGTCACGGGGTTTGGACTATATCCTAAGGGCAAAGGGAAATCTGAGTTGAGGAGGGGAGTACTGAGAGACTCAAAACTGGTTATGAAAGTAAGATTACTGTTAGGAAGAAACATAAAGGTATATTTAGGAGGTAAAATAGGGTTTGTGACCATAAATTAGGGTTTGAGAAAGTGGCTTCATGTTTGAGAAATGGAGAAGATGGCAATGCTATCTATAAGAGGAAATATTTCTGGTATGAGCAAAGAGAAGCTCCACTGTGAACAAAGTACCTGTGAGACAGCTAAAAATATGCAGTTGCCAGCTAGACATCTGAGTCTGGAATTCTAAGAAGCAGTGTGACTGAAGATACAGATTTTGGAATAATTTGTAGATTAAAAACAAAACAAACAGAACCTAGAAATAGGGATGAGTTTGTCTAGGAAGGTGTAGGGTGAGCAGAAGACCTTGAAGCATCTAACTTATAGGGTCTACCAAGGAAACTGATAAAGAAAAGAGTAGTTGGGGTGTGAGAAGCCAAAGGAAGAGGATTGCTTGACCAAGAGCGAACCCTCAAAGTCAGAAAATACAAGGAGGGAAGAGGCAGCGTGGAATAGTAACAAAAGAAATTTACAGAGAAGGAGAATCAACGGAATTGAGAAGAGTAAGCTTACTCTGGGCTGTTTCAGATTCTTGCCAATGTTAAATGTCTAGCTTCCCTGAACACTAGTCTCCAAATCTGATGTACATGAAATAGACCAAGAAGCAAGGTAAAGACAAGAGATAATGAACCAAGTTTGGAGTAAAGCTTATTATTCTAACCTAACTCCACTCATCAGCTAGACATAAGTAGTTAACTGATGACAGCAGAATATTCAAGTGTTTACAGGATGGTGAGTATAAGGAAGTCAATTAGGAACACAGACGGAAGTAAAAATACTTTTACAAAAAGATACCATCAAAGCATAACTTCAATATGGCCTTGCTCATAGATGAATAGGTGACCACAACGGGTATATTAGCTAATGAACAACAGAAAAGAGATATTCTTTGTTAAAAAAGATTTTAGGCAAATTCCAATTTTAAAAGCTAGACTGCCAAGCACCACAAACTCTTTAAATACTGACTCTAAAGACACATTGTCACACAAGAAGTATCATCTTTATATAGCCTATCTTGTAAATTCTTACATTTATGTTTAAACATCTCTTGCACTATACAAGACTTGAGTTGGTGGCATGTTGTCTGAAAAGGCTGTTTGTAAAATGACCACAAGTTTCATGGGAAAAGAGTGTCATATGACTGCTTTAAAATGCAAGTACGTTTTAGTCTAACTGAAGTGTCCACCTAAGCATAGTTCTTCTGCATTCTGATTTAATTAGAATAAGCCTGGATCTTGTGTTAAGCTAAAAGCATCAAAATGTAAGAGTAATACCTCTTACCTATTGCTTTCTTTCCATTCTCACTACCAGATTCTCTCATGACACCTGGTAATTCTTCCTAAAGATGATCCAACAAACCCTCTTAACACACATGTCTTTTGTAATGTCACTTTGCATTTCTCCCATCAAGAGGTAGAATTTATTTCTCTTCCCTTCACTCTAAAGTGGCCTTTTGTTTTATTATGACCAACAAGAAGTGACAGGGCTTAGCTTACAGTCCTAAGCCCTAAGTAGCTTCATAGCCTATTCTTACCCTTTTGGTTGCTAACCACCAAATCAAGAAGCTGGAACTAGATTATAACTAATGAGAAGTCAAGAATAAGAGAGGACATAAGGAAGACAAATAAGGAACTCAGTCAACAGCTGGCTCCAAGCCCCCAAATATATGAATGAAGCCATTTTGGACTTTCCAGCTGCAGTTAAGTCAACGATGGTAAGATTCTCTTACCATCATATATTTTTTAATCCAACATACATATATTTTTTAATCTATGCTATACATGTCTTTTGAGATCTTGGAATGTGGCAAGGGTGTCTAAAGAACTTCATTTATAATTTCATTTTATTTTAACCAAACTTCAAATAGCAGTTGGAAACTTTATTGGATAGTGAAGACTTCGAATTCATCCCACACAATCCTGCTAAAAGAACAAGGCACAGGGGAGCAGAAAATCGCCTTAGCACACACCTTTCTGCTAGAGATAGCTGAAGTTTCTGTCAACTGGTATTTAAAAAAAGAAAAGAAGAAAAGCAGATGAAGCTCCTTCCAACATCACCCAAAGGAATGACCCAACCTAACTGGATTTCAATTAACTCCACCCAACCCCCTCTTTTCCCACCAATTAGCTTTCCAATTCTTCCAGTGAATTTCTCTTTCCTCCGAATCTTTTACACTAGTTATAACAGACATCACTTTTCCTTAACTAGACCTTAATCTCTTTGAGGACAGTGGCCTGCTTAATCTTTGGAGAGTGGCAATTCTTCCAAATTCCCTATTTCCCTTCGAATCACGAACAGGTACTTCCGGAATGGCTGAATGACCTAAACTTCACGGGCATATTTTTCTAGATTAATTAAAAGTCGGCCCTAAATTCTCGAGCTTTACCCTTCGCTTCATCTACCGAGGACCAATGAATCCAGCAAGGTTGAGCGCGAATCCTGCCAGCTGCGGGGCCACGTAACGCTCTCCGCCAGCTCCCGCACGCCACGCCCAGTCTGCGGGGTGCCGAAGGGGCGGGCCCGAGCCTAGATGCCGATTGGGCGTGGCGTACGTGAGTGAAGGCGGGGCCCGGGAGAGGAACCTACACTCGGGTCAGACTCGGTAGTTTCCGGTAATCTTCGACCATTTCCGACAACGAGCTCCTCCGCCGCCGATTCCCCTCGGGCATTTCCGGTTCGTTTCGCGCTTTTCCGTCTGGGACCCGCGCGGCTCTCTCCACTTCGGGTATTTCCGTGTCCCGCTCGGAGGTACTCGGCAATCGCTCGGCCTTCCCCCATCCCCCGGTAACGGTCGCTGGTGAATTTAAATGAGCCGGGGCTGGCCGGGCCGGAGCCGTTACGGGGGGGGCCTGAGGCACTGCAGAAAGTGGGCCTGAGCCTCGAGGATGACGGTGCTGCAGGAACCCGTCCAGGTAAGGATGACCCCTTCTCTCAGGCTGGGCTCGCAGCGTCGGCCGGGAAGCCGCGAACGGCCACTCCGCGGCCTGGTGCGGCCTAGGCCGGGCTGCCTCTCCCGCCTACCCGCTGCCGGGTGCTGCCGTCTTCCCGTCAGTTCCGAGGCCTCGCCGGCGCGGGGAACCGTGTTACCTCAGGGCCCACGTTACTTGTGCCGCGAGAGTGAGCGGGTTCGGCCCGTAATGCCTCTTGCCCCGCCGGGCCGACGTCCGCCGAGCCCGTCCTGTCACTCTGGGGGCCCGGCCGGCGGGGGAGCGATGGGGCCGCACCCCCGCCCAGGTGCCCCTGGCGCCCAGGTGCCCGCTCCGCTGGCGGGTGGCCGCCCAGAGCTTGTAGCGTCTTCTGGAAGGTGGGGCAAGTTTGCGGGGGGAGGGGGGCGATTTGTTTTTGTTTTGCGTGAGCGGGCCGAGGGGGGGTGCAGGATCGTGTTTTATTAATGCTCATTTCCGCCTCGGTGACAGACCTTCTCGCCCATTGAATTTCCCATTGGACAATGATCAGAGAACCCCCAGGCCCGGGGCCTGGGCGAGCACCTACTCCCCGGGAGGGGGTGAAACCGACACCTCTGGGGTTTCCGCCACCGGTGGTTTGGGTCAGGAGTCAGTCTGATTGTGCCTGTTTCGGGGGTCGGGCCCAGAAAGGCAGATCCACCCATTTTCCATCCATTTCACCGTCCTTACACGCCAAGGTTTGCGTGGACGCCGGTGCTGGGTGGGCGCGGAGGAAGCCCGATTGCATCCAAGTGTGTGATGCATTGCCAAGTCATTTTACTCTCTGCCCTCCCAGGAACCTACATCTTTTGTCCCTTGGTGGCGAACCAGGTTTGGGAGGCTTTCCACCCTCCTCACGGTCCTTGATGAAGAGCGTTGACCTCTAAAAACGACTGTCATTTGAAGTTAAAAAGCAAGTTAGAAAGCAAGCTGATTTATAAATTAGCTCATATCGCCCTTAATAGGCCGGTGATATCAAATAGCAAATATTTTAATACATCACCACTCCCTTGTTTAATTTTTCTTCGCGGGCTGACATGCCGATTTCTCCTATTTGGGCCTTTTCCCCCCAGCTCTTTCCATATAGCATCTGTTAGTATTCTAATTATGTGTGGATTCTGTGTCAGGAAACGTACCTGTTTGTAGGTTGTAGCAATGCTTCCAGAGCTATTTCTTTCAACCCAAATTCATCTTAATAAAGAGCCCTCCACTTTTTAAGCCTGATAGGAAATTAAAAGTTCTTAAGTGGATAAGCAGATCACTCCAGCTGCTTAATTTCTGTTTTGTTGGGTTTTTTTTTGTAATTTTGTCTTAATAATTAATGATACATCTTCCCTCTCTTGCTCTAGAGTCTTCTAAAATGATAAACTAGTTTCTCTTATAACCTGTAATCCTACTTGAAATAATTTCAACTTGTGTCAGAGCATAGAGAATTTTGTATCAAAGCCTGTTCCTAGAGAGTGCCCATTATGTTTTCTCTTTATCTTTAAAGTACGTAGATATTTTTAAGATTTAAAAGCAAAAAAAATTTTCTGCTCTGTGTTTGTTCATTAGATTTGGGGATAGTGGTAAGAAGGTTTAAGATATGATGAGAATTTTGGTTGAATTTATAGTTGAGAGAAGTTCTAGAAGGGAACTGGAGCAGTGGGAGGAACAAGCAATTTTGGATAGGATGATAAGCATCAACTGATTAGGGATAGTGCTGAAAATGGGGAAGATTTGTAAGAAGAGAATAAAAATAGATAGATAAGATACTATTTGTTGTGTTTTTGTATTTTTTTAATGCCCAGTGGAGGTTTGGAAAGGGATGAGAATAAGTTGGAAAGTTGTTTCCTTTCTTGGGATTCCTCAGGGTTTGTGGTACTGCTGGTTATAGCAGGTTGAGAGAAAAGATGAGCAACTGTTTCCTGTCCTTTGTTTTTCACTTCAAGGTTTTTAATGTGGAATAGCCAGTCTCATGTGCTATATATGCCTAGGTATAAGCTCCTCCTCCAAAGTATAGAAGTCTTACATTATGTTTGAATCTTTATAAAAACCTCCCTATTCATGAGACAGAAGTTCTGTTAGCTTTTTTATTTTTAATGTAACCAGGAAAGACACACTAGTCTAAATTAACTAAGTCAGTGTTAATTTAGATGTTTATAAAATTCACCTGATGAAATTGGTTTTAAAAAAAAGAACCAAAGACATTTTGTATCGACTTACCAATTAATTATTCCTGGGGGTAGGACTTAATAGTTAGAAGTATTGAATGATGTTGAGCTTTAATAATAAGCATATATAATAAGTAGGCACTACAAAGTACTGTACTGAGGGCCTCCCTGGTGGTTCAAGGGGTTAAACCGCAGAATTTGAAGCTAGTCATGCCATTGTAGCAGGAGTTCAATCCCTGCCAGGGAGCTGACCCACATAGCCCAGCAGATCACTCCTGACTTGCCCTCTGCTCCCCTCAGCAGTGTATTGCAGTCCATCTGCCTGTTTTGCTCCCCACTGTGTCTCTGGTGAATCCTCTCACCCCCTGCACCTCTGGCCAACACCCCAATTCTTGTATGTATGAATAAATAAATCTTTTTGAAAAAACAAAGTGCCATACTTAAGATAGCATTCAAAGGTAGTAATGAGGAATATTTTGTTAGATGAAAAATGGCCAAAGATATGCAAATAGTTTCAGTGAAGTTATTCTATGCAACGAGAATAGAAAAGTGAAATGTCTAAGTATATTTTGTGATTTTTAAAAAGTACATACAGTATGTAACAAAATTGATAAATTAGATTTGACTATTTTATCTTTAGTCAAAAATGTATCATATTAGTAGAAACATTTATTTATGTAATTTTTCTTTGGAAAATATATGATATTATTTTAGTATGATATTGTATCTTGAAAAAGTACTACACAGTGCCTGGATTGAGAAAGCAAGCTTAGGAAATAGGGGTGGATGAAGAAGTCATAGTAAACACATAATAATTTAACACTTTGATGAACTAATGTCCTGATATAGCCCTTGTGCTTAGAATTTCCATGTAGAAAAAATATTAGATTTTAAAAGTCACAAATTACTAATTACAAGTAAAAATAAAATCTGTAGATAGAGAGACCTAGTAAGAGAGACCTCACCTAAGCCCAGGTGTTAGGTTGGTAATTGGACCACAAAGGAGATACTGCAAAACAGCATTAAGTTAAGAAACAATCTCAATGAAAATATTGGACAGAATATTATGCATGCCAAGCATAGAATCCTATAAAAGAAAAGTGCTCTAAAATCTTCTCTAAAAAGGATGCAGCAAAGTCCTTTTAAAACAAGTAATATTGAATATTATTTAAAACAAGTAATATATTTTAAAACAAGTAATATCGATGGGGGGGATGAAGTGAGGGGAGGGTATGGAGAAGGAAGTATGCAGTTTTAAGAGTTTTAAGGGCAAGGAAAACAGTATGTGTAAATTCCCTAAAATATAACAGAACATGGCATTGGAAACGAAAGAAGGCCAGTGTGGCTGAGATTGCATAGTGAGTTGCATAGTCAGGGATGACCGCTGTAAAGAGTTCATTTTTCATCTGATATCATGAGGAGTCACTGAAGGATTTTTCAGTAGATGATCTGAATGTAGATACTAGATGTCTTTGGCTACTATATGAGAAATGTAATGGAAGGAGAAAAGAATGAAAACAATCTTAGCATAAAGAAAACATTAAAATGGTAGTGGAGTAGGAAAGAGATAATAAATTCATGTTTTAGAAGAACCTTTTGTGGTAAGGCTGGGTGTCTGTAGTGACTGCCTGGATTTTATTTTGGATAGAGAATCCTTTTCAAGGGGCAAGCACATTGCAAGAGAACAACTAAGAATTCTGTTTTAAGTTAGAGATATTGTGAAATCAACCAGTAGAAATGTGGAAACATAACCTCTCATTTTTTGAGGAATCGAGCCTTGATAAGATAGGAACAATTGAATAAGGTAGTATGTATTTGATTACACAGGTGGTAACAAAGGAATTCAGGAAAGAGTGATCCCTGTAGATTGGAAAAATGGAAAAGGTTTCTTGAAGGTTTCAAGAAAGATTTCTTAAAACTTTAGAAGATGGAAAAGATTTGGATTATTAAAGAATTTTCTTTGCATGGAATGGCAGGAGCAAAAACCCAAAGTTGAGAATAGTGTTTAGAAACAAGAACAATAAAAATACTGTATTGGTTCAGGCAGAATAGAAATTGAGAACAGGAAGAGGTAAGGTTTTACAAGTTAGGTAGAATCAGGTTTAGGAGATTTCCACATACAGGATGAGGAGTTCAGATGTAACGTAATTAAATAAACATTATAAGTGTTTTTTAAACCCATGAGTTATGTGATGAAAGTACTGCTTTGGGAAGAATGATCTGGTGCTATCGGTAAGGAAGGAAGAGACAAACATTGCGGAGCCGTACTGGCTAGTAGAAAAATCCACTTTCATTTATACTAGTGTTTCTCAGTCTTGGCTTGTAACTTTTTTGGTAAGCTAATTCTTTGCTGTGGGGAGTGTTGTCCTATGTATTGTCATAATGCTTTGTGACATTCTGGCTTCTACTTTCTGATGGCTCTTCCATTTGTGACAACCAAAAATACTTCCCAGGCATGGTTAAATGTCCCTTGGGTAACAAAATTACTGATAGAGAACTATTGATGGGGATCTAAA